TCAGAAGAAGGGTTCAGAACAATAGATTCTGAACCCTGCTATAATAAGTTTTTACTTCATTATAAGCTTTCACTAGCACCAACTCCACAAATCCTAGGATCCTTTTTACAACTACTTCAACAGTTATAATTTAAAGATAATATAACTATCTCAGTTGATAGTACTAATTCAGAAACACATATTTATCTTCCATATGACAACAATATTCTACCCAACTATAAAATAATTGAACAATTCTGGGTTGATCTTTAGTATAGGTGGGCACATATAATTTTTTATATTATAATTTCCTATACGGATCTCCTTTAGTAAAGGTGGGCAAACTCTGATGAGTGTCAAGTAATTACATGATATAAGAATTAGTTAAATTAAACTATTATAAAATTAAATAAACTAACTTATCGTTATGCTGATCAAAGTTAAATATTTAACTCAATCGCAAATTTGAGTTAAATATTTAACTGCGTTTAACTCATGTAAGTAAATGTAAATTAAATATTTAACTACCTGTAACTCATGTGGATCGGCAATCACAGATTAGATAATCTGATTTTTTTTTTTATTGCTATTTTTTTTGTTATTTTTTTATTTATTTATTTATTTATTTATTTATTTTTTTATTTATTATTTTTTTTTTTTTTACAATCTTCTTTTTAAAACACTATCCGGATTCGCCAAAAACCTTAAAGAATTAGAAGTCATTCCAACATCACATTTGATTGGATGTATAACTCTTCCGGTTAGCCATCTTTCACTTATGGCTTGCTTTTTTTTTTTGAATTAGAATTCATTCCAACCATCACGTTTGATTGGTGTATAACTCTTCCGGTAAGCCATTTTTTACTTATGGCTCAATTTTTTTTTTGAATTTTAATTTATTCAATCATAACGTTCGATTTGGGGCGGTAACAATTTCCGGTAAGCCACTTTTTACTTATGGCTTGCTCTTTTTTTTGAATTAGAATTCATGTTCGATTTGGTGTATAACTCTTCCGGTTAGCCATTTTTTACTTATAGCATACTTTTTTTTTTTGATTAGAAGTCATTTTAACCATAACGTTCGATTGGGTGTATAACTCTTCCAGTAAGCCACTTTTTTCTTATGGCTTGCTCTTTTTTTTTTTGAATTAGAATTCACGTTTGATTTGGTGTATAACTCTTCCGGTAAGCCATTTTTTACTTATGGCTTGCTTTTTTTTTTGAATTAGAAGTCATTCCGACCATCTTGTTCGATTTGGTGTATAACTCTTTCGGTAAGCCATTTTTTACTTATGGCTTGCTTTTTTTTTTTGAATTAGAATTCATTCTAACTATCACGTTCGATTTGGTGTATAACTCTTCCGGTAAGCCATTTTTACTTATGGCTTGCTCTTTTTTTTTGAATTAGAAGTCATTCCAACCATCTTGTTCGATTTGGTGTATAACTCTTCTGGTAAGCCATTTTTTACTTATGGCTTGCTCTTTTTTTTTGAATTAGAATTCATTCAACCATCACGTTCGATTTGGTGTATAACTCTTCTGGTTAGCCATTTTTTACTTATAGCTTGCTCTTTTTTTTTGAATTTTAATTCATTTAATTATCATGTTTGATTTGGGGCAGTAACAACTTCTGGTAAGCCATTTTTTACTTATGGCTTGCTTTTTTTTTTGAATTAGAATTCACGTTCAATTTGGTGTATAACTCTTCTGGTAAGCTATTTTTTACTTATGGCTTGCTTTTTTTTTGAATTAGAAGTCATTCCAACCATCACGTTCGATTTGGTGTATAACTCTTCCAATAAGCCATTTTTCTGAATTAGAAGTCATTCCAACCATCATGTTCGATTTGGTGTATAACTCTTCTGGTAAGCCATTTTTTACTTATGGCTTGCTTTTTTTTTTTGAATTAGAATTTATGTTCGATTTGGTGTATAACTCTTCTGGTAAGCCATTTTTTACTTATAGCTCGGTTCTTTTTTGAATTAGAAATCATTCCAACCATCTTGTTCGATTTGATGTATAACTTTTCCGGTAAGCTATTTTTTACTTATAGCCTGCTTTTTTTTTGAATTAGAAGTCATTCTAACCATCATGTTCGATTGGGTGTATAACTCTTCCGGTAAGCTATTTTTTTACTTATGGCTTGCTTTTTTTTTTGAATTAGAAGTCATTCCGACCATAACGTTCGATTGGGTATATAAATAGCATAGCGGGCTTATTGATGATCAAATATCGGTTAAGCAAGAATATTTTATACTAAGCTTGTAATAAAATATTTTCATACGATTAAATTGGCCTTAATAAAAACGTTATTATTAAATCTTATGGTTAAGTGTCGAAAATTGTAAACCTAGTATAAACACGATTCCATAAACTTAGATTTTATTAAATGTGTACACGAATTAAAAAAAAACACAAATAACTAAGTACCAATACCAGTCTTATTGACATCAAACCATTATATATTAACTTATGTTTCATTGTTTATGTTAGGCTATGTACTAGACTATTTCATTAAAATATTTCACTATCTTGATTATACTGTAATTAAAATTGTAATAATATTTTTTTTAAAAACAAATTACTAAACTAATAAATTTGTGTGTTGTATTTATGACTTATTGGCTAAATTGAAGCATTCAAACATCTAACTTTCAAATTACCTTGTCATTTACCAATTCATTTTAAATTTTGGTTACATTTCAGGTATCTATCACATGAACTACATATAAAGTTGAGTTTAACATAAATAATTCTATTTTAATTAATCGCAATATATGTGTAGGATTAGATGTGTAACAGTTCCACCTCAGATATTATATACTAGTGTTAGTACATTTAAACTTATTTATATGTACGTACATATTATTGGATTAAAACTGTTATCAGGTAGGGATGTTAAATGGTCTGTCTGGTCCAGTCCCAGTCCGGTCCCTAACAAATCTGGTCCAGAACTAGTTGAAAACTAGTTCACCCCTGTCAAAAGGTGGTCCCATACTGGTCCCACACTGGTCTTACTCCAGCAGTTTAGAATAAATTTTCATTACGTAACTGTAATACTGTATTACGTGTGCCCTTTAAAAAGTACTCTTTATTAAAACTTTAACCGTTATTACATAACAAAAAAAAAAAAAATACAAATTTTAAAGTTCAAAATTATTTTTTACTATTCTAGCATCATACCATGTTTTTAAACAGAGACTCGCACGGACCTTTTCATCCTCCAACCGATTTCGTTCTGCATTTATTGTATGTTTTGCAAGAGAAAATGCCTGTTCGCTCGGAATACTGGTTGCCTGAGCAACCAGGTAGTCCCGAGCCATGTTAACAAGAGGTACCCACTTTAAATTTGAAGTTTTTGATTTTCAAAATGCAAGAGTATCTATATTTTCATCAGGCATATTCAAGTATTCATCTAATACATTACAACTAACTGAAATATCATCATAAGTTTGTTTTAGCTGATTTCGAAAGTAATCGTGAGCTGAACTGAACTGATTTAAGCATGGAGCCTGAGTAGTCATTTCATTATGAGAGGGGGCGTAGTCTTTATAAGTTTTGTTAATTATTTGACGTATATTATTTTTTTCATAACTAGAATAATAAGTAGAAAATTTAGAAGACAGATCAAGTAATACTGCTTCTGGAAGGGAGGATTGTAATTCGTTCCAGTATTTATCAAGTTTTTTTAACATTTTTTCTGACATTTGTGATCTTATTGAATTTGTTTCTTGTTTAGCTTCAGTAAGATGTGTAACAATTACAAAAAAAACCGTGCACACATCTCCAATAGTTGGGTGGGTCGACGAGGAAAGTAACTTGGTAGCTTCATAAATGGGTTTTAACAGTGTCATTACGGTTTGAATCTTACTCCAATCTTGAACAGTCATATATTGTTGTTTAAGCTGGGGCATTGAAACTACTAATATATCCATCATGTTTTTTATTTTACATAATTTACTTAGCATTAAGTATAACGAATTCCACCTGGTTTCGCAGTCAAGCTCAGGCATTAAAAACGGTTGGCCTTTCATTGCGAAGATTTTCTTTAATTCTTCTAGGCAGGGTTGGGAGCGATGAATATGGCTTGCGAAATCTCGCACCTTTTTTGTTGACACATCAATCATAGAAAGACCATTGACGACAGCAAGGTTAAGTATATGGGCAGCACATCATAACCTGCAAAAGGCAGTATTATCATAGTGATATTCCAACATTCTAGCAAGATGGTCACCACAAGCATCCATGTTACTAGCATTGTCAGCGGTCATGGACAAAACTTTTCTTCCTAAACCAAAATCCTCGATTATCTTGAAAATAGTGTCAGCCAAAAAACCACCTATATGTAAGGATGAAAAAAAAAGTTTTTAGCACTTTTTCACCGATTTAAAATGGGTGATGATTAAAAGTTAAATTTGTTTTTAAATATACAGTCAACTCTCTCTAAGTGTATGCGACGGGACCATATATAAAAATTTTGCCAAACGTGCACTTAGAGATATTGTATTTAGAGATCTAAAAATCTATAGGTGTAATATTAGTTGGGACCAAGAGAAGGTGTGCATTTACATAGGACGTGCACTTAGAGGATGTGCACTTAGAGGGAGTTGACTGTATTAAGAACATAATCATCACCCGTTTTTAATTATGTAATAAAAAACATTTTCCATCCCTACCTGTATGGCGTTCATGTAAGGGAACAAAGTCTAAAATTATACGGCGCAACTGCCACTCATCATCAATCCAATGCAAAGTGATTGCAAGAAAAGCTTGGTTTGTACATGCGGACCATATATCGGTCGTGATTGATACCTTATGTCCAAAACTTTTAAAAAAATTACGCAGTTGTCTACGTTCTCTTTCATACAAATGCCAAACGTGGACCGAAATCGTTTGCCTACAAGAAAGTCTGTAGCAGAGGTTGAGTTCAAAAACAAATATTCAAAGATCCTTATCTTCAACTACACAAAATGGTTGCTGATTACAAACGATCCATCGAACTAGAAGCCCATTTAATTTTTTTACTTTTTTTCATCATGAGCACCATAGTATTCAACAGCTCGTGAGGGTGACACCTGAAGCAATTGATGGTATTCAGATTTATAGTTGTTTTCAAAGTGTCATTTGATTGTACTAATACCAGATCTAGTACTATATTTTGTTTTAAGGCACAGGCTACAAATAATAAATTTTTTATTTGGAGTTGGTTTAAAGTAATTCCAGATGGGATGTGTGTTTTTACCATGTTTAAAAAATTGTTTTTCAGCATTGGGTTCATTATTGGAATCAGTACTCAATTTAATTACAAAATTTTCATCTAGACGAGGAAGTGTATCAGAGGTAGGTGCAAAATTTTGTAAATTTTTATTGAAAGACATGATGCAATTAATAAAATCTTGTGAGAATACAATTTTTTGTTTAAGACAACACTTTTATACTCACAAAAAAACTTTATCAAACACAAAAAGAAGATATTTGGATTCAATATGATTGCTTTACGGTTTTATTAGGATATTAAAAAAAAATTACAACAAAAGAAATTTTAACAAAAGGCATAGTAGAGAAAACAATTGTAATAAAAAAAATTTAGAGTAATCCTGATGTAATTATAATGCGATCATTCAAATGATTACTAGTTACAACAAAAGAAATTAGCAATAAAAAAAATTTACAAGCAACTAAAGACATGGTAGAGAAAAACAATTGTCGTGAGGAAAATTTAGACTAATATTATTATAGCCCAATTTAATTATAGCGCGATCATTCAAACAATTACTAGTTAATGTATTAATCCAATTTTATGATAGTAGCGATAACCAACATTGTGTTTTATCGTATCTCTATATATATTTTTGATAATAAATGAATGTTTTATGTTTGTTCTTTTAGCTTTTATACGGTGTGAAAACAAATATAGCATGATGTAATTAGCCAATTATTGATTGAAATTGAACAAATGATAAAAAACTATCAGTACTTACCAATACTGTAATATTACTAAGCAATTATTGATCAAAAAGCGAAAGGAAACTGTAGTAAAAGCCTTCAGTACTTATTAATGCTGTTATAATTATCAGGCCATTATTGATCGAAAGCGAAAGACAGTACTTAACTAATTTAATTCTCCAATTGTATTGCTACCCAATTGGCGAATTTTATATTGAAACATTTAATGTATCACCACTTAAAGAATATCGTTCTTGATTTCATCTTTATTGAATTTTATTTAATGTGTCAAAAACGACACTCTATTTATATCATGTGAAGTACCATGTGATGTTTGAACTGGTTTTGGACCAGTTCTGAGCTAGTCTCTAAAAAGTCCGGTCCAGACCCAGTCCGAACCCGTTCCTCATAGACCATTTAACATCTCTATTATCAGGCGATCAACAATTCAGGGGGTAAAATTTTAATATGAAATCAAATGACTGACGCACCTAAATTTTATATGTAAAATTTAGGCAAAATTCGCTTTCTAAGCTTA